TATCTGGGATTCACTGTATATAGAATAGAAAATTTTAAATAAAAAAATGTTTATGATAAAAGAACTGAAAAATCCTAATTCTATCTTTTGGTTCACCCTGTATGGTATCTTCCAATTTGTTAGCAATCCCTTTAAATTGTCCACACATTATTCGAGCAGACACGCTTCTGCCGTTAACAATCCTTCTTCCTGAAACTCCCTGCTGGAGACTTGGAGACAAAATCAAATCCATAGGTTTCCTAATAGAGATATAACTAATAAAGTATTGGTGTACTTGAGTACAAGTGGAATTAGGTAGATGCAAGGAAAGTTAATTGCAGTTGCGTGTACTCTGCGTAAAGGCATTAAATTTTGAAAATTTTGATAATTCACAGAATAGTTTCCTATGACCAGAATATTTCATTGATTTTTTATGTGAAAGATGGATCCCATGTCAGGCTTCGACATCTGTCTTGTGTTTACATTACCGCCCAGAGACAGTACACTGTAGTACAAAAGATGCGTACACCTCTGAAATAACTTTCCCTGCATTATAACCCTGGGAGGATGTAGATTTTAAAAACATTTCTAACACTAGAGGCGCTAGTGTAGTTTGTGATGTATAAGCTGAAACGCTGTAAAAGAAAGCAAGCAGAATCCTGTTTTCTCTCAGCTTTCTACAGAATCAGTGACCTCGACGGCGGAATATCAATTAAAATATAGACATAACAATTTGAACAAGCGCCAAGGGGAGGGGGTCCAGCTAGCCGAGGGGAAGGGGTGGGGAGATGGGGGGATGTAGACTCTATATATCTCTATTTGTTTCCTTCATAATGCTCTCATAGTGCAATCCTGTCAGCCCAGTAAACACTTCAGGATCTTCAAAGTTTAAATATCTGTTGTCGTATTTAATAACTCTAGCCTGGTTCAAATGCTTTTCACGTACAGTTCAACCTAGAACTTTGGAGAAATCAAAAGAATAAATATAATGTTGTTTTCTTAACCTACTGATAATGGAATGCTGCAGCTATTTAGTTTTTTAATTAAACAATTATCAGGAGCTTAAAAAACTTTTCCGGCATTTTTCATCGATATTTATTGATTTTTACAATTACTTAGATTAAGGGATGACAAATTTTTAAATTCTTTCAATGTCTCCGAATTTCTGGGTTACACTGTGTAAAATTATAAAATAAATATTTTTAAATAAGATTTCGGTAAATTTTTTATATTCGTTTATTTTTGTTTAGCATTTGAAATCCTTTCTTAGATCTTTCTTAAATAAAGCTTCTTTAAGTTTTTTAATAAATTTCTAATAATGTTTTTATTTTTAGCGTACTAATTGGGATATTTCATCCACTATCTTTAAGAAACTATATTCCTCATCTAAAGCTTTAACAAAGTCCTCTGGTAAATAATGATCCCATTCACTTGAATTCTAAAACACAATTCAAAACAATTCAACACTGAAAAAGATTTGGAAGGGAGGAGGGAGGTGGTTAGGAGGAGGAGGGGGAGGGGGGGGATCCCTTAGCAACCTTTTTATTTTTCTAAAATTAGATGATGAAACTTCAAAAGAGAAAGGAAAATTTTACCATTATCTTGTAAAGCAACAATTATGTATTACGTGACGGTGAAACGATCTGTGTACAGTTTACATCGCAAAATTGCTGTTTTTCGTGTTTATTGGTTTATTTTAAATCAAAACTGGAGTTTCTTACAATCATCTTCCTATTCCACAGTTTTATGAAAACCACTGTATTTCATTAAAGTTTGGAATTATTCTGTAAAATCAAAACTGAGTTGCTTCTTGTTAAACTTAATTTGATGTAAAGAATTGTTTTTTTTTCCTTTGTTTGATCTGGCTTGAGGCATCTCGTGTCTGAGCCTCCTTTATAAAACAGATTTAGAGAACTTAGCATATCCTCTGCTTGCACTCCGACCTTTAGAGGAGCTGGTTTAGTCTCCTAAATAAATTGTACTATCTGTTTTTTTTTAATTTTTAAATAAATGTTCGAAGTCTTCTTCCGTAAAAAAATCGTTTTTAAAGACGATCGAAAAAACTTTCCAAAAAACGAAACGACGATGTGTTCTTTTTCCTGAAAAAATTATCGTTTTTGAAAAAGTAAATTTGAGTCTTGTAGGGTTTAATTTTAGATTTGTTTATGGTAAGAAAAGTTTGTAGATGTCGTCTTTCATATGTTCGATAACAATGTTTAACTTATGTATATTTTATTTATACGGCTTATCTGCTTTAAGGTTTTACTTACTTTACTTACTATAAATACTAACTTCTTTTTCAAGAAAAAAAGTCTGTAAAATGTGTTTTTTTATCTACGTATATGAAAGTAACGAAAATTCAAATTTTTTTGATGATTGCAATAGGTTGCTTTTGTCAATTAAGGAATTGAGTCTTTGCCACAAACTCAAATTGTCTAATTTCTATATCTTTATAACCTGATGCTGTAAATCTTTGGTATTTCAAACTCTGATTACTTGATCGTTTGAAATTTATAGTTTGAAAAATCTAAGGTTTTCGACATTGGGTTATAAAGATATTGGGATTGGAAAATCATAGTTTGTAGCAAAGATTCAATTCCTTTAAGTAAGTATTTTTCATTGATAATTTATAGAATATGTTGAAAATATAGTTACACAAAATAATGGAATTGAGTCTTTGCCACTAACTCTGATTTTCTAATCCCTATATCTACTTAACCCAATGTCGTAGACCTTATATAGTTCAAACTATGATTTCTGTTATATCAAATAAATATCAAAAGTTTACACATTCAGGTTGCAAAGATATAGGGATTAGAAACTTTGAGTTTGTGACAAAGACTCAATTCCTTTCTTAAGATAAAAAGACAAATTGTTTGATTGTTATCGGACATGGTAAAAACAATTGTTACGGCATATGAATCATATTAATAATAATTGGTAGAAATAATCCAATCTTCAAAGGTAAATCTTTAATGAAGGGTCGTCGTTAACAAATTTTCTGTTGTCAAAATTAAGGATCGGCCGTAATAAAGAGTTGTCGTAAACGATCGACTAAATCAAAAACGACCTACCTTCGTTAACGAAACGATGATTTAATAAAAATGCACATTCACATTCTTTTTTAATTTAAAAAAACGATTATTTTCAAACGATTTTTTAAAACGATCGATTTTTTTTGTTTTTTCTACGTCGTAAACATAATGATCAGAAATGTGAAAACGACCCTTCTCTTCTCATTATATAAATCTATTAAAAAATTTTAAAAAAAGATTTGTATAAATATTTATTTTATACCACTATCGGTGCATAAATGTCCTCCTCCACAAAATCATGTTCTCCAGCAAGTTGTATAACTGTTGTTGTTAATGTTCAGTTTTGACATTAGCTATTTGATTATTAAATATAAATTTTATGCAGGCTCTCTCTATAGTAGGTTTTAAGAAGTTAATTATCAATAGGATAAGATAAGTTAAGATATCAATAGGAAGGCTATATCTAATCAATTTCATGTTTATCTGATGTTGTTCTGAAGAAAAATGTTGTACCAACAGCTTTTAAATCAACCTTTCGACGAAAAAGAGTTTTGAAACAAAGTACAAAGAACTGTGGTAGGCGATTATATCAATACAATGAAGACGACTTTTTTATTGTAAACAAGCTTTTTACGAATTAAAAGTTTGCATGCAACCAATGAAATGCTTTGTAAATGGCAGCTTCTCTTGAATTCCATGTTCACATGTATCCATGCTGTTTAACAGCTTGATTCAAATCAAAATTGAGATCAAAAGTCGTCTTTATTGTATTAATATAATCGCCTAATATTACAAAATAAAGAGACTGAGCATTATCCTTTCCGTTTCTACTATTCCATGAACAGAATGGGACTGTGCAGCAGTATTGGCATTCGTTGCAAAACACTTTCTCCCGCCTACAAAAAGACTTTTCAACCTTAACCCTATCACGGGGGGGGGGGGTTCCAGCATCCGGCATCATAGTTGTGAACAAATTTCATATTAGACACAAATAGCCCAATCGTGATAGGGTTAAAAGAGACAGTCCAAAAATAGTGTGTTACATTCCTTTCTTTACAATCCGGAAAGAAATTTACTCTTTAGCATGGAGAATTATGTCAAACTACATGACCAGACTCTTTTATCACACACAAAAGGAAAAATTTCACAGTTAAAAAAAAAACTTTAAAATACGGATTTCAGTAATTTGTTGAATTCGAAAATGTTGTTTTTCAAACAAAAACAGTTTATTAAAAAAGGAATGGTACCTGAAATTTAACCCTATCCCTGCTGGGGTACTTGAAAACCAGGATAAAATTTTCCAAAAAATGAAAAATTATATTGCCATCAATATGCGGGAACAGTTTTAAAGAGTTCCATATAATCATTTAATTAAAAAAACTGAATATCTACAAGATTCCATTATCAGAAAGTGAAGAATACGACATTTGATGAATTCTTTCGATGTACTCTTTTTTAAGGGTTTCACTGTAATTAAACTCTTATGTTTTCGCAATTGAAAAACAGTCATGATTGCAATCTATTAATGATTTTAAATATGGATTTAAGTTTTTGTCACAAACTAAAGTTTTCTAATCCCTATATCTTTGCAACCTGATTGTGTAAACCTTTGATATTCTAAACTTAGATTAGTTGATCTGATAGAATTAAGAGTTGAAATATCTAAGATCTACGACATTGGATGCAAATATTTAGGGATTAGAAAATCAGAGTTTGTGTCAAAGACTCAATTCCTTTCTTGGTTTAGCATTACCTAATACAGCACTTTAAAAGACCACCTCGGCTTTTACATTGACGGTTAAAAGTTGAATTTTCAAATAATTTACAATCCTCATGGCAAATAGATGCATTGTTGCCTGAAATAAACTATTCTTTAAAATTTTAGAGATGGGAATATTTAATTTACTTATTAAGTATTTGTAGCGTACAGTGAAACCGAGGAAACTGTAGAATATGAAGACGACATTAAAGCAATACTGAAGTGCATTTGATGTTTTTACAAAGCAAATAACTCGAATAGATAGTTATGAAATCACGTATTAGGGGAAATGGGCCTGTTTACATTGCACGATTGCGTTACCTCATGGTAATTGGACTTTTAAAATTCATAACTTGAGTTTAAAAGTCATAACTTGGGTTTAAAAGTCATAACTTGAGTTTAAAAGTCATAACTTAAGTTTAAAAGTCGACCTCCTATTCCAGAGTGTTCTGGTTTATACACTGTACAAAAGAACTTACTTCAAAATCTTCAATCCGTGTATCTTTGCTTATACCTGATTGTGGAAACCATTGATGTTTTTTAAATTGGACTTTTTAAACTAGTAGACTTAATAGTTTCAAGCATCCACGATTTCAGGTTGCAACAATATTAGGATTAGAAAGTTAGAGATTAAGTGTTTACTTCATATCGATTAAAAAATGGTTTCTATTTAAATATTCAAGGGTTGAAATACCTACTATTGGGTGACAGGTCTTAAAACCTTGGGTTTCCACCTTCCTCTGCAGAAATGTTTCCTAACAACAAGAGTTTGCAAAGAAATCTGGTAAAATCTAGAGGGTGACCCAATAAACATGGGAATTCAGTGACGAATTCGATTTCGTCTTTTTAAATAATTCTTTGATTTAGTATAGTGATACCTACTGAGAAAGCTGTAATCTGTAAGAAATTCGTCTGCCATGCTCACATTTTGTTTGTTTATGTTTTGACTGCATACGGTTGTACTTAATAAAACAAGAAAATTGCAGTATACAAACAGAATAAACTTGTCCGTCTTCACTGTTTATTTTGCGGAGACATTATAGACACATCTTTACAGTCTTTTACCCTTTTCATAAAATAAACTCTAACAGACATAATAATATTAAGGCTTTTGAAATTAGGTATTACTATGCTAATACATAACAAAGACGATATTGAATTCGTCACTGAATTCCCGTGTTTTTTGGGACACCCTGTAGGAAAATTGTAAAGAAAATGACGGAGTTGAGCTTTGAGATATAGTCTGAAAGTGAGCATCAAGTTCTAGACAGCCTGGACTTTAAAGTGTCGCAACGCCGCATTTGTACTTTTTTGTAGCCCAAGCTATATACATTTTAAATCTGCAACGCGCTTGTTTCTAGCTTAAGTTTGAAGGGAGTAATTGGCAAAATACTGCTCGATTTTTGAATATTTATATTTTCCGTTTCGTTTACATATTTATAACAATGTTACATATACATAACATATTAAATTAATCACTTGTTGGTTACGGAATCTTAATTTTACATTTTTTTATTTGTGATATGGAGAAATGTTTTTATTAGACCTTTAATGACAACATTATTTTATGGAAAGCATTTCGATTATTTAAGAATTCAATATACAGAAAAAAAATAATTCTGTTTATTCCTTTGTTTTACTGAGCTGTACATTTAAGAGCATGAGAGTTTGCGATATATTGGAGGAGCTATCGCGTAATGTTTTCTGAATAAACTTGAATAAAAGCACCTTGTCCTGCAAAAACTGGACAGCTTTGGCCGTATTTCTCTCCGTTAAACCTTTCCAGTCATCTTCACATTGATAATTTGTAGCACAGCAGTGGAAAGAAAAATCTCCATTATTACAATAAGTAAGATTGCCCCCCTGAAATAAAAAGTATATCTATATATAAAAAGCTCTTCATGCTCATATACAGTTTACGCCAGAGATTTGAATAAAAATGACCTGAATTAACCTTGTATGTATACAGATCTCGAACAGCTTCAGAGATAAAACATCCTTACACTTACTTAAGGCCTGCGTGAAATCATATTCTATCAAGGGACTGTCAGCGTGAAATCATATTCTATCAAGGGACTGCCTGCGTGAAATCATATTCTATCAAGGGACTGCCTGCGTGAAATCATATTCTATCAAGGGACTGCCTGCGTGAAATCATATTCTATCAAGGGACTGTCAGCGTGAAATCATATTCTATCAAGGGACTGTCAGCGTGAAATCATATTCTATCAAGGGACTGTCAGCGTGAAATCATAGTCAAGGGACTGTCAGCGGAATTTTAAGTGACTCTCCATCCAAAGTTGGCAGCGCTCGACTCCAGTAGAAATGCCCATGTCAATTTTGTTGAGAAACCACATTTGAAAATAATCAGTTTTCAAGACTATAAACATTGATATCACATTCATACATGATCAGACAAAGCTGATAAGGTAGCTGTTGTGAATCGGACATTCCCATCTGGGCCTGGTGGGTCAATTGAAATTACGCCAACAGTCCCTTTAACGGAATTTTTCGATAATTTTTGGAAACTGATTTTTGCTTTTACAGAACATTTTCCAGTCCTACTTGAATCCTAATCAAAATAAATATGAATTTTCCTTGTTTGATTCTCCATCTTTATCCGTGTTACGTATTTCCACTGCTGCACAAACAGAACCATTGTTTTGAAACACTTCTTTATTCAGACAATTATTTTCTAAAATTAGAAATATATTTGTAACTAATTCTGATAATTTTCTAAAATATTAATGGGAATTTTCGCGAAAAATGTAAGGGGTTCTGGGTATAGGCTAATATTAAATGAATTTGATATCGATTGCTACCAATCTTACTTTTATCTGTTGCATCATATATGAAGAAAATGGTTAAAAACATCCTATACCAGAAGAGTTTAGCGTCCATATAAATTCACAGAGTTGAATCATTTCACTCAGACCGTAAATAATTCAATTGAAGTTATAATTAATCAATAAAATGTTATACCTTTTAAATGTCCAATTCAATTCGATGCATTCATAGTTGATATTTCATAATATTTTTTTTTATATATGATGTACTTTAAACGACCATTATTTGGCCACCAGGTGTCTCCACTCTCATGATATTTCAGGTATTTCACTCGGGAGTTGGGAAAGACCAGGGAGTAAGGAATAGAAGGGAGATACAACTGACGCGGTTCGCCCTACCATATGGTTATGCATGCTTTGCAGACGGGTACTCCATTTGTAATAAGAAATATTCAGAACAGGTTTCTGTATACGCGGTAATTGTACATCAGTCAAATATTTCTTATTCAAATCTCCCTTCTATTCCTTACTCCCTGGGAGAGACTCCTAGCGAATAGCGATCAATATCGAATTCAATTCGATATCAGCCTTTATTTACTCTCTTTAATTTTTCGCGATCACTCCCCCCTTTAATATTATCATAATATTACCAGAAGGTTACCAATTATATCAATCATATTAAGATTTGTTTCCACATTGTTTGCAAATGTCGTCAGTGCCGCAAAACCCGTGTTATAAATCTTAAATCAATCGTGTGCAAGCAAAATATCTTTTTACATGATAATGATAATAACCGTCCTCCACACATTTTCCTAGATTATGAACTATTAACACTTTGTAAAGCCTCTAAAAAATGTGAAAGTCTCTATTTTTTCCTTGGATATAATCCTCTACCCAGTAATCCAGTCCTCTATCCCCGGAGATACAGAATAAAAACAGCTTACCTTGGATATAGTCCTCTACCCAGTAATCCAGTCCTCTACCCCCGGATATACAGAACATAAACAGAGCCCAAATCACCATTTTCTAGATATTTTGAAATGTATTTATTTTAGAAATATTTTATTTAAAAGTTTTGAACCTAAACACTCTTGTTAACCATAAATCCACCCTGAAACCTTTCTCCCATAGATGTCGTCTTGAAATCAAATCCCCTCCCAGAGCCAAAACCAAACCCAACCTTCTCTGTCAATAGACACCAAATCCGTGAACAGTGAAAACACCACGCACCTCTAACCCTTTACTAAAAGTAAATTCAACCTAAAGTCTGACCGCGTCAACTTTGTTGCACCAGCCAGTCCTATTGAGTGTCTGCTTTATTTATCCGATGTCCAGGCAATACAGTACAAACTGGGACCGGAAATGTTGACCCAGCTCGGAAATTCAAATGTACTACGGTTGCCCGTGACACGATTTAAATATAGAAATGATTAAAATTTGTGATTATCGCCGTAAACAATAATTTTTGTAACCAACCGGGTATTTATTTTTCAGAAGTCACAAAACGTTTTATTCTACTGCTCCGTTCAACCCCTCATTTCCCCCTACCTACCGCAAACTAGTGTATAGTATGTTTAACCAATTATCATAACAATTTATACCAACATTTTAACTACATGAAAATATTGTTACCCATGTTTAATACACCTATAATTTATTACAGGTTTAAAATACAGATTCTTTTGTGTTTGCAACTTGTGTATGTAGAGGAGAGCAACGCACCCTTGACCCTTTACTAAAAGTAAATTCAACCTAAAGTCTGACCGCGTCAACCTTGTTGCACCGGCTATACCTTTTAAGTGTCTGCTTTATTTAACCAAAGTCCGGGCGATACAGTAAAAACTGGGACCGAAAAGGTTGACCCGGCTTGCAAATTCAAATGTACCACGGCTGCCCGTAAGAGGGGATATCTACCCGAGCAAGTTCGAGCTCGTTTTGATCTCAACAACCCAACGATTTTTAATTGAAAATATATGTATATAAAATGTATGTATATAAAATATATGTATATAAAATGTTATGATAACTACTCTAGGGCCTTTTTAAAAAGTTGATTTGTTAAGTTTTGCACTACATTTTTGCAAGCAAATTTATTTTGCAGAAAAAAAATTTCGATTCTTGCATTTTTTTAAATTCTCCAAATAGCGCCCAAAAAATTGTATCATATCATTTACCTTCTTTTCTTCGCTGCTGTTATGCCATTCTAGAATTCATTTTATTTTTTCTATTTATCAGAATTATTGTTCATAGTTGCAAACAGTATCATTTTGTTTATTAAAGAAACCTACCGTCTTTATTANCTTCTCCACTATTCACAAATATTTGACTGAATTCACTTCTTGCTCTTTTAACAACAACATTTGACTGAGATTTATAATATCAAATTGCAATGATTAACGTTGTAATAAGTGAGGATGAATGTTGTTTTATTTTAATCCTATTAAAAATACTTAAACCCTTACATATTTTCCACATCAGCCAACATGCTTTAAATCATGTTTTACGCTGAAATATAACTTCACTTGATTTTGCAGATAAATGTATTTTGTATCCCCCTGTTTAGTTAAAAGAATAAAATATTAAATTATTAGAATAAATAGAAACTTTTATCTTTCTCTTTGATTTTCCGCACCTAGCTATTCATGATGTTTTGTAAATAAATCATTTATGAAATAATTGTTGACATAACCATTAGAATTAAATTCAAATATTTGTAGGGTTTTTAGGATGGTTTTTTGCCAACCGTGGGTCTCAAATCTGTAAAACGTAAACATTTGAATTTTGAAATGTCATCCCCTCTTTAATGCTTTCCATAATGTGGATTCGTTTTAATTTTGTTCAAAAAAGTGCAAAAAGCACTGCAAAATGCAAATTGCTAAAAACTGCAACTTTATCCTTCTTTGTACTATTTTAGTAAGCCAAATAACTGTACAGCAATTCATATTATTCTATGATATGACAATTTGGCATGAATTTACAATTACTGCTTAACTTTAAAAAATGGCAAAACTAGTTTTGCAAAAATGAAATTTGTTTTTTTAGCAAACCTAAAAGTTGTTAAAATGTTAAAAAGCTAATAAAAAGTGAAAAAATGCAAAATATGTAATTATCAGATAACTCCAAGTTTTTACTTATTTGTGCAATTATTTTTGCAACCCCAATTTTTTAGACTAATCTGAATTAGCCTATTTTAAGAGCTTTCCAAAAAAGTATAATCTGTCATATTTATCTTTGAAAGGGTCTCACCTCCCCTCCCCCCTCCTCCCTATAGCATAACCTGGTTTTCAAGTACCCCAGCAGGGATAGGGTTAAGGAAAATATTTGTGTTAATCCTGGTTAAACTTGGGGCTAAGCAAAGTTCCGTTAAGAAACGGAGGTTTTCGAAATTAACGGAAGAGTCTGTTAATGAACGGCAAAAACCTTTAATTTTTAAATCGTTGACGAAAGTGATTATAGCCTTCTAAAAAAATTAACAGTTGAACACGAAAACGAAACGGATCTTTTTTAAACGGTGAATTTCGTTTTTTCTGCTTTAAAATGCATAAAAGGCTATTAACGATTTCTTTAACCATTAACTACTCTTTTCATTTTGTAATAATGATATCATTGACAGGTGGAGCCGTTAATAAAATTAAAATCGTTAACTAAAGGTGAATTTAGCCGGAAAATACCGTAACCGAAACGAAGTTTTGTTCTTACCCTCTGAAACCTACGGCTACCTGAGATTTTATTTTTAAAAGGGTTGGAACCAGTGGCGGATATAAGGGGGGTTATTGGGGTTATTTACCCCCCCCCTAGAATCCTGGGGGTAAATACCCCCCCCTAGAATCCTGGGGGTAATTACCATACCACAACAANAAAACCTGTTAATTTCTAAATGAAATAGATTAGCCATTTTTGAAAAAAAAGTAACGATTAAAAACAAAAACAAAACGATTTAAAAAAACGTTGAATTTCTTTCTACTTATAATTGCCTGAAACTTGTAAAAAAAATTTAGCATGTTTTGATGTTTTTATATGTTGTATTCTGTGTTCACAACTGTTAACGATTATATAAACCGTTAGCAAAATTTTTTTTCCGCACTTCACGCGGTATAAAAAATTGAGATTGTTAGCTAACAGTAACTTTTCAAAAAGCAGAAAATACCATTTGAAACAAAGTTTCGTTCTTACCCTAAAACTAACGACTCTACCTGAGATATTATTTTAAAAACGGTTGGAACTAACCATTAACAAAACGGCTTGAAAAAGTTTAAACATGACTAGCCCTAGATAAGCCTGGTGCATGCACTGAACACTGGACAGTTTGTGTTGAATCATAATTTCAAATCTAAAAATGCATAAGTGCACATGTGCATCCAGCAAAGCATTGAAAACTACAAGGTTAAGATTTAGTAAATGTCTATTTCCAAACTATAGGATCAATTTTTTGGTAGTTAGTTGATGTTAAACAAGTACTGTCGTTATAATTTTAAGCGACCCAGCTATCCTCCATTTAAAGAGAACAATTAAACAGAACCTTTATCTAAACAATACATGGAGGGAGGATATTGTCGTTTATATTTCTGGACAACTTAGTGACAATTATTTATACTAGTGCAATTAGGGTTTCCAGCGTAATTATACATATTACTTTCTTTCACTTACGGGGGAGCATTACGGGAAATTATGTCTTAGTTACATAAACAAAATAAAGTCTAGTTTCGCGTAATTACGTAATAAGAAATCATTCCGTAATTAATAAAGTACATATTAATTCTCAGAAATGAATATAGTGGGAAAATATGTGTAAGGATATGCGCACTACAACCATGTCCAATCTTATTGGATAATAAAAATATTTTCTTATTGAAGTTTCGCAAATTAATGTAAAATTTCGCGAAATTACCTTGTAGAAAGTGCGCAAAATTACGACGTAACTTCGCGAAATCGAAGTTTTGCTAATTAAGGGTAATCCTGGGAAATTATACAAAATGAAATTTTTTTGCGTAACTGCACGTAATTTCGCGTAAGGGAGTAATCTTTTATTTACTGCCGATAATTTTAATAATTAGTTTATAGAGGACGTGAGTCAGACTCTAATAAAACGCATAAATAACTTCCAGTATATATATTTCTTATAACTTATTACTAGAGGGTTCAGAACTTTCCTATAAATGTTTACCAAAATAAAATTGCATTTTAATTCTCAAATACAGCTTTGCTTAAATTTTATTTTAATCAATTTCTTATTAAAAATGTATGAATTCTGTACAAAGAATTTTTTCGTCAAAATAATCCCTTGAAGCTGTTGTAAATGTACTTTCAAGTGGCTCTATTTTTTAGAAAGAAAAAATCACAAGAGTACCTTATTGTCAGTAACAATGAGGAAGATATCATCGTTTTTTCAAAAAGTATTAAATTCTGCCAATATTCTTCTTTGTCTTTTCAGCATAAATTCAAAAGCCTCAAAATTGAAAATAATCAATTCTCAGCCCATAAATTCTTGATTGGTCAACATTTTAATTTTTTTGTGAATCGGACATGCCACTCTACAAATAAAGTTTCACTTTAAACTACGATTACAGTCCCTTTAATTGTTTACAGTCCCTTTAATAGTTTACAGTCCCTCTTACTGTTTACAGTCCCTTTAATTGTTTACAGTCCCTTTTATTGTTTACAGTCCCTTTAACTGTTTACAGTCCCTTTGATTGTTTACAGTCCCTTTAATTTTTTTCAGTCCCTTTAATTGTTTACAGTCCCTTTAACTGTTTTCAGTCCCTTTAATTGTTTACAGTCCCTTTAACTGTTTACAGTCCCTTTAATTGTTTACAGTCCCTTTAACTGTTTACAGTCCCTTTAATTGTTTATTCAGTCCCTTTAATTGTTTACAGTCCCTTTAACTGTTTTCAGTCCCTTTAATTGTTTACAGTCCCTTTAACTGTTTACAGTCCCTTTAATTGTTTACAGTCCCTTTAACTGTTTACAGTCCCTTTAATTGTTTACAGTCACTTTAAATGTATACAACTGTCCAGGTTCCAGGAGGAAGGTTTTCGGAAATGTTTGGAACTAAGAAAGGAAAGAAAGTGAAAATTTTATTTTATATTTGCAAGGGACTGTTCGGGTTTTTAGAAAATACAATCGTTGAATTATGTTTTCAATTAGATGAGAAATCTCTTTAATAAAAAACGCTAAAACGGTGTAAAACGTTCAGGTTAAATCTGTTTGCCTACCTACATAAATTTAATCCGTTTAAAGCAAATTGTCTAGGTTTATTAAATCAAAAGTTTGTGTTTGTATTTTCCTTACTCTTCAATGTTTGAGTGCTGCAGTGTTTGGAATCTCTATGATGTTATGTGCTCTGTTGGGAGCTCTCATTCCACCACTTTGCACTGGAAATATTAAAACTAGGTAATTTTCTTGTTTAAAGAGACAGGTCGTCGTACAAGAGGTTCCATGGCCCGATTTACAGTCTCGTAGTTATACTTTTTAAACTTTTACCTTCGCAAATATTTCTTTGCCTCAGTGCCGGTCTCAAAATGAAATGACAGGAATCGTTTGAATTTTAGATAGAAAAACGAGGATATCTTTCTTAGCTAAAGTTTCTGAGATAACGGCATTTTTATGAATCGTTAAATGGATTCCATCAACCCTTTTATCTTCTTAGGAACTCAATTTCCTTTCCAAACGATAGTGGCGCAAAAGTATTATTTTTCTGTCTGATTTTTTCTTTTTTTCTTTTTTCGTTGTTTGCACCTTCATCTCGGTGCTATTATTGATTTATTTAAGTTTGATGGTTTGGTTACTTAATAATTTAAGTTTAATGGTTTGTTCAATGTTTTATTTAATTTTGATGGTTTGGTTAATGTTTCATTTAAGTTTGATGGCTTGGTTCATGTTTTATTTAAGTTTGATGGCTTGGTTCATGTTTTATTTAAGTTTAATGGTTTGGTTCATGTCTTATTTGAGTTTGATGGTTTGGTTCATGTTTTATTTAAGTTTAATGGTTTGGTTTATGTTTTATTTAAGTTTGATGGTTTGGTTAATGTTTTATTTAAGTTTCATGGTTTGGTTAATGTTTTATTTAAGTTTGGTGGTTTGGTTCATGTTTTATTTAAGTTTGATGGCTTGGTTCATGTTTTATTTAAGTTTAATGGTTTGGTTCATGTCTTATTTGAGTTTGATGGTTTGGTTCATGTTTTATTTAAGTTTGATAGTTTGGTTAATGTTTTATTTAAGTTTAATGGTTTGGTTTATGTTTTATTTAAAATTTCGCCCCCCCTAGTTGCGCCTCTGGTGTTTACCCTCTAAAACTACTGACTACCTGAGATTTTATTTTAAAAACGGTTGGAACGAACCTTTAATGAAACGGCTTGAAAAAGTTTGAACATGACTAGCCCTAGCTAAACCTGGTGCATGCACTAAACATTGGACAGTTTGTGTTGAATCATAATTTAAAATCTTAAAATGCATAAGTGCATATTTGTCGCATCCAGCAAAGCATTAAATGTAAATTCAAAACTATAACATCCATTTCTTGGTAGTTAATTGTGAAACATTGAGGTTTTCCAGTCGTAATAGTATGTTACGCTTACGCGTAATTATGCATAATATTTTCTTTCAGTTACGGATGAGCATTACGCGAAAAGTAGTAATTACATTAAGTTTAATTACACGTAATTATGCCTAACACTTTCTTTCACTTTTCTTCACAATTGAAGTTTCGCTAATTACGGGTAATCCTGCGAAATTACACAAAATGAAAATTATTTCGGTAACTACACGTAATTTCGCGTAAGTGAATAATCTATTTCGTTGGAAACCCAGACAAGTGTTTACTGCCGATAATTTTAATAATCAGTTCTCAAAAATAGCCATGATATCAATTTATTTCTTTATGATGCATATCTTTTAAGAATATCCATGTGAATGGGAAATTCCTCTCCATAAAATAGGTCACTTGATATTGCGCCTACAATTCCTGTATTTTCATGTATAAAAAAAAAATTACCCTCTAAAGATAGAATTATCGAAATATCGCGAAAGATATTTTTTCAAAATTTGGAAACCATAGGTGACAGTGACAATTATTTATACTAGTGCGACTTAATGAAATTGGTTTTAGGCTTCATCATTTCCTTTTTTAAGGGTTATGTATACAATTTTACGAAATTGTCTGTTTTTGAAAATTCGTATCTATTATTTTTTTGTAATTTTTATTTTTTGTAATTAGTGCTATTTTAAAACTTTAGAGCCGATTTTAAACTAATTTTTAAATATGAGATATCTGCCAATTAACATGTATTACAATTATTATTTTAATTTTCTCGGCCCACCCAGTCATCCTTTGTTTACTTTTTAAATCTTTAATAAAGTTTAAAACTTTAGCAGCAAAACTGTTTAATATTTATTTTTGTCATATACGTCAATCTTTCTATTTACTTTGGACATCCGATCATAACTTAGGAACAACTTCACTGATATGTCTAAAATTTGGATTGAGGAACTCGGTAGAACCACGGGAATTTCTGAGCTTAGGTTCAAAATCCGAAATTTAGTAGATTGACCTAGTAAGTAGTACTGCATAAGAAGTAAAGCAGTATTGTTANGCACATTTCAAGTTTAAACCTAGAAAAACGACAATATCTTTCTCTTTACTGATTAGAAAGAGGTACTGAACTGGTACTGTTGTGAATCCGGCATTGCCATCTTTGCATGGAGGGTCACTTGAAATAACGCGTAAAGTCCCTTTCAGTAAATAAAGAAAGCTAAATGTATAGATAAAAACACAAAACAGTAGGTTTAGTTATTATCATTATCATTGTTATCATTATCTTATCGTTTATATGCTTAAATGTTTAATAAACTGTGTTTGAGCTTAAAACAATTTAGCATTAGCAGGACTTTGAATTATTTTTTGAAATCTGTGAATTTGTGAATATTTTTTTTTCAATACAGTTAATGTAAGAAATATGCCTCCCTCCTCCCCCTCAGTGATTTTTTCTCAATAACTCAAAACCCACTAGAGCGCTCAAACCTCTTTAAAAAAAAATTTTTTTTTATTTAATCTCGGCAACGCATGTCAACTAATGTGAGAACATTTCGTTTTCCTTGTTATATTGGACACTTGTGACGTCGTGTATAATTGGTCCATTTCTCTGTTACCACCTATTTTGCTGATCAGTTGAAAATTGATTGTTCGCATGACTCATGAGTCATGATGTAGATGCATAAAGATTTAGTAATTATCGTGATGTTTACTTTATGTCTAGATATATCTAGATACCTTTTAGATAAACCGAAAAATGTGTCACAAAAAAATTTCCATTTTGTTGATAAACTATCGAAATTTTTGTTGTTTTTTTAACATAAAAATAGAAGCCGAATTAAAATTTTGCATCATTGTTTGAAGAAACGCGATAAATATGAAAATAAACAAGAATCGGTCATATAATGTATCTTGATAAGTACAATCTGATACAACTGCTGCGCGTATGACTGATATGCTATCAAAAAAACTCTTGAAAATTCAGTTGCAAGTTATTTCCTTAAAACTAAGACAGGAGAAGAAATTAGATTTGTTTCTAGAAAGCATTAAAGGGACAGACCGGCAATGCAAGGTAGTTAAACTGAGTATGCATTGTTGTGGACAAATTCTTAAGGATTTATTTGAGGCATATAAAACGTTTCCACGATGTATAATTACTGAGCTTGAGTGCATATGTCGACGTTCAATATCATAAATTTAGGTCCGGGTACGTTTTCAGACTTGGTTTTTTTAAATTATTAAATGACGACGACGGAAAATAAAGTTAAAATTATACATTAGACTAATTAGATGGTTAGGAACATATTTATCAAAAGAAATTCGTCAATTAAAATCAATGTTAGAATCAATTATTTCGTTTTCATCATTATATTGAATTTCTTATCTATGAATTTATTCGCAGTTTTCTACAAAGTCTTCAAATGTCGTCTTTTCATTAATAATTTCAGAAAATCTGCAGAAAATCTTTGTGAAAAATGAGAAAATAGAAACTAATAATGAAACACGTATACTTATATTCGATGATAAGATTAATTCTTATTTCCTCATCCCGTTCCTAAACAACTAACATTTTTCGTCGTCGTTTTTTAATAATTCAAAAAAACAATTTTTAACACCGACTTTACGCTCAAACTCTGGATTTACAGATCTTTAAAAAGTTTTATATGTCTGAAAGGAATCCTAAAGAATTTGTCCACAACACTACATACTCAGTTCATCTACATGAAATAGCCGGTCTGTCCCTTTAAGACAGGAGAAGAAATTAGATTTGTTTCTTGAAAGCATTTTCTTAGTTTATATTCAATGTTTGTTTCGTGCTCTTGTGTTTTTAATCAAAATAATACATTTAAATATTTAAATGCAAAACAGCTAAAAATATTACTTGTAATAAAAAAAATTAAATGATTATAATCTTATCAATTTTGGCAATACCACTAAATTAGTAAAAACGCGATAAATATGAAAATAAACAACACTAAATTAGTAAAAACGTAAGTGTGTCAAATCTGTTTTGTTTTCTAAATAATTGTTTTAATTGTTTAAAATACAAGATTGAAGAAATAAATACATTTAATCTAGTGAATAGTTACAACATACAGACGGACAGCAGAAAAATAGAAAAAAATAATCTTTTCATTTTTTCATTATGCAATTTTAATCGAACTGTTTTGTTTAGTGAAAAATGTTGAGCAGAATAATTCCTCGTCGCTGGCAGGTAAAATGTTCGTTCAGTTCTTGAGAGACTAACTTCACTTTTGTAGACGGCCTAGATGCTTTAAAGGGACAGACCGGCTATTTCGGGTAGCTGATCTTTAAAGGGACAGACCGGCTATTTCGGGTAGTTGATATAAATTTTGAAAAATGAGTTTGCGCTCCTACTCAGAAATAATAACCCGTAAAGCCGTCTTATTGGTATCTAATTAATCCTTAAAATGTTCTCTATAATACTGCACTATCAGTTCAACTGCTTTGGTAGGCGAATATATTGATATAATAAAGACGATTTTTTAACTAAGTTTTCGTTTACAAGTTTAAAAAATAGATGATTTTTTAATTGACAGCGCGCTTTTATTGTTGCCATGTTTTTGTGTATCAATGCTGTTTAAAAGCTTGAGATTAGATTAAAATCCAAAGTCGTCTTCATTTTCTTGATATAATCGTTTACCACCGTCCCCTACCTAACCGGTCTCTCCGGTTAATGTAAAAGTATTCTTCAGTTTTCTTTGAAAAAAAAACCGCTTCGTTGTACATATTCTATCTTTTATGTGATTTGATAAGTAAAGAATTTCCTTTTTGATTTCATAGCACGTTGAATTTACAGATATAGGACGTTTTTTTACTAGGATAATTCATAGACAAAGAAATTCATAGAAAAAAATCATAGGACATTTCATAGATACACTTTTATGGACAGAACAGACTTTTCATATTCAGGTAATTTCATAGAAAGTGAAGAATTTTCATAGATAGGTAATTTCAGAGGGTTTGGGCTAGTAAAAAATGTGTCACAATCTTAGAAAATGGGATCAGTTTACGATCCATATAAATCAGAGAGATCGTAGAACGATCAGAGTATTGATTAATTAGATAAGGTTATTTGGAAGAAGAAAAAAATAACCTTATCTATGCATAAATTCTAGCTGTCTATGAAATATCAAATCTATGAAATGTCCTGTCTATGAATTATCATATCTATGAAATGTCCTGTCTATGAAATATCATATCTATTAAATGTCCTGTCTATGAAATATAAAATCTATGAAATGTCCTGCCTATGAAATATCATATCTATGAAATGTCCTGTCTTTGAAATATCATATCTATGAATGTCCTGTCTATGGTCATATCTATGAAATGTCATATCTATGAAATATCATATCTACGAAATGCCCTGTCTATGATCATATCTATGAAATGTCCTAACTATAAAATGTCCTGTCTATGAAATGTCCTGTCTATGAAATGTCCTGTTTATGAAATGTCCTGTTTATGAAATGTCCTGTTTATGAAATGTCCTGTTTATAAAATGTCCTGTTTATGATATGTCCTGTTTATGAAATGTCCTGTTTATGAAATGTCCTGTTTATGAAATGTCCTGTTTGTTAAATGTCTTATTTATGAAATGTCCTGTTTATGGAATGTCCTGTCTTTGAAATGTCCTGTTTATGAAATGTTCTGTTTATGAAATGTCCTGTCTATGAAATGTCCTGTTTATGAAATGTCCTGTCTATAAAATGTCTGTCTATGAAATGTCCTGTTTATGAAACGTCCTGTTTATGAAATGTCCTGTCTATGAAATGTCCTGTCTATGAAATGTCCTGTCTATGAAATGTCCTGTTTATGAAATGTCCTGTCCATAAAATGTCTGTCTATGAAATGTCCTGTTTATGAAACGTCCTGTTTATGAAATGTCCTGTCTATGAAACGTCCTGTTTATGAAATCTCCTGTTTATGAAATGTCCTGTCTATAAAATGTCTGTCTATGAAATGTCCTGTTTATGAAATGTCCTGTTTATGAAATGTCCTGTCTATAAAATGTCTGTCTATGAAATGTCCTGTTTATGAAACGTCCTGTTTATGAAATGTCCTGGCTGTGTTGTGTCTTTCTTTGAAATTTCCCAACACAATAAATATAGGTTGCTTCTTGCTATGCTTGTATTTCTGGGACTGATGGTAAACTATATGCTCCGAGTTAAAGGGATTGACCGGAAATGTATCGAAGTGGATACGTTTTGAGAATCATTTTTTTAAATTATTAAATAACGAGGACAACAAATGTTACAACATTTCTACAGTAAACTATTAGTAGTTCAGGAACAGGTTGAGAAAATAAAAATTAACTCTTATCATCGAAAATAAGTAATCTTATTCAGTTATAAGTTTCTTTAATCTCTCATTATTCGCAAACATTTTCTGCAGATTTTCTGGAATTTTTATTGAAAATACAACATTTAAAGAATTTGTAGAAATATGCAAGGAAAGAAATTCTATATAATGATGAAAAAGAAATAATTTATTCTGACATTGATTTATTGACCAATTTCTATTTAGAAATATGTTCCAAATTATCTAATTAGTTTTCTGAAGAAATTTTGATACATTTTTCGTCGTAGTTATTTAATAATCTTTAAAAAATCGATTCTCAAAACGTAGCCACCCAAATGGATGATTTTTAACGTCGATTTTACGCTCAAACTTACTAATTATACATTATTAAAACGAATGTTTTATACATTATATGTCTCAAAGGAATCCTAAAAAATTTCTAAACAATACTTCATTCTCAGTTCAACAACCAAACATTGCCAGTCACTCCCTTTTATCTAAACATAAATATAGGTTGCTATACTTGTATTTCTGGGACTGATGGTAAACTATATGCTCCGGGTGAACCTAAACATAGCACTCATCGAGATGAACAATTCCAACAACTCCATGGGTCCTTTTGTAAACTGGACAGGTAATATCAATATTTAGATTTGTTATGATCAGAAACCACAACTTTTAAACTTTCGCGCTCAGTCGATTTTCCTCCCCTCTTGATGGTTTAATTTAAGCTATTCCCTTTTTTGTTTCCCAAGAGTTAAACTTAAATCTTTCCCTTTAAAAGTTTACACCGTGGCCGAAAATTATTCTAACCAAAAGTTGAAGCCTCAGACTTATCTGTAAATCTTGAAATGTTGAAAATGTGAAAAATGTTAAAAAGTGTAAATTAAAGTTCTTGGATAGATTATGGAGAAGGAAAGAGTTCTGATGAAAATGTTAAATCAGCTCAAAGTCTTGTCAAAAGTGCTTTCTTCTTTGGATATGTCATAACACAGGTAATTTTCCTTCCTATAAATGTTTACCAAAAAATGAGTTTTAATTCTCAAATACAACTTTGCTTACAATTTATTTTAATCAATTTCTTATTAAAAATGTATCAATTCTATACAAAGATATTTTTTTATTAAATATTAAATAATCCCTTAAAGGGGTTGTTCATGTACTTTCCAGTGACTCTATTTTTTAGTTTAAAGGGTACCGTTGTGAATCGGACATCCCACTTTAAACTACGATTACAGTCCCTTTAATTGTGTACAGTCCCTTTAACTGTTTACAGTCCCTTTAATTGTTTACAGTCCCTTTATATGTTTACAGTCCCTTTAACTGTTTACAATCTTTTTAACCGTTTGCAGTCCCTTTAACTGTTTACAGTCCCTTTAACTGTTTACAGTCCTTTTAACTGTTTGCAGTCCCTTTAACTGTTTGCAGTCTCTTTAACTGTTTACAGTCCCTTTAACTGTTTACAGTCACTTTACCTGTTTACAGTCTTTTTAACTGTTTGCAGTCCCTTTAACTGTTTACAGTCCCTTTAACTGTTTGCAGTCCCTTTAACTGTTTACAGTCCCTTTAACTGTTTACAGTCCCTTTAACTGTTTACAGTTCTTTTAACTGTTTACAGTCTTTTTAACTGTTTACAGTCCCTTTAACTGTTTACAGTCCCTTTAATTGTTTGCAGTCCCTTTAATTGTTTACCGTCCCTTTAACTGTTTACAGTCCCTTTAACTGTTTACTACTATCCAGGTTCCAGGAGGAAGGTTTGCGGAAATGTTTGGAACTAAGAAAGGAAAGAATGTGAAAATTTTATTTTATTTTTGAAAGGGACTGTTCAGCTTTTAGAAAACACAATCGTTGAATTATATTTTTAATTAGATGAGCAATCTCTTTAATAAAAACGCTAAATCGCTGTAAAACGTTCAGGTTAAATTTGTTTGCCTGCCTACATAAATTTAACCCGTTTAAAGCAAATTGTCTAGGTTTATTAAATCAAAAGTTTTGTTTGTATTTAACTTAATCTTCAATGTTTGAGTGAAGTGTTTGGAATCTCTATGATGTTATGTGCTCTGTTGGGTGCTCTCATTCCACCACTTTGCACTGGAAATATTAAAACTAGGTAATTATCTTGTTTAAAGAGACAGGTCGTCGTACAATAGGTTAATGCCCGATTCACAGTCTCGTAGATATGCTCTTTAAACTTTTACCTTTGCAAATACTAGTCCTTCTTTGCCTCAGTGCCTGTCTCTAAATGAAAATAAATTTGCTGTTAAAGTCATTAATGAAAAGTGACAGAAATCGTTTGAATTTTAGATAGAAAAACGAGGATATCTTTCTTAGCTAAAGTTTCTAACATAAAGGCATTTTTATGAATCGTTAAATGGATTCCATCATCCCTTTTATCTTCTTAAAAACTCCATTTCCTTTCCAAACATTAGTGGTGCAAAAGTATTTTTTTTCTGTCTGATTTTTTCTTTTTTTTTCTTTTTACGTTGTTTCCACCTTCATCTCAGTGCTGTTATTGATTTATTTAAATTTAATGGTTTGGTTAATGTTTTATTTAAGTTTGATGGTTTGGTTCATGTTTTATTTAAGTTTGATGGTTTGGTTTATGTTCTATTTAAGTTTGATGGTTTGGTTTATGTTTTATATAAGTTTAATGGTTTGGTTCATGTTTTATTCATCTTGATGGTTTGGTTAATGTTTTATTTAAGTTTAATGGTTTGGTTCATGTTTTATTTAAGGTTGATGGTTTGGCTAATGTTTTATTTAAGTTTGATGGATTGGTTCATGTTTTATTTAAGTTTGATGGTTTGGTTCATGTTTTATTTAAGTTTGATGGTTTGGTTCATGTTTTATTAAAGTTTGATGGTTTGGTTAATGTTTTATTTAAGTTTAATGGTTTGGTTCATGTTTTATTTAAGGTTGATGGTTTGGTTAATGTTTTATTTAAGTTTGATGGATTAGTTCATGTTTTATTTAAGTTTGATGGTTTTCCATTGATAAGTGACACACCGCTGCAAAGTGAACCCTTAAATGTTTTGTCTTAATTAGATATTAATGTTTTTGTTTTTGAGACATGATTTTTTTTATTTGTGGCTTCTCTACAAAATTGACTTACGCCAAGTCTACGCTTAAAACCCTGATTCTATCTAGGTAAATATTTAGACTCCTTTGGAAAAAAATGACAAATAATTTTGATTTAAAGGAAGTGTTTGCGAAAAATGTAAGGGGTATAAGCTAAGCGTTACACCAAATATTTTTATTGATACTATACTATTATTTTATATTTATCTATGGTAACATGTTCCCATAGGCAAGAATAATGAGAGCCGACTTCAGACTCACAACTTTTTTTATTGTTTTTTTATTTTCGTTTTTTTCGGACTCTCTTTTCTTTTAAACAACTGAATAAACAAGAAAGTACGGAAAGTCTAAGTCTGAGTTAATCCTTAAAAGTCCAGATTCAGGATTTTTCAAGAAATACAAAGATAAAATTTATATTTTTCAATCCAGTGGTGTCCGGAATGCGAGAAAGGAAAGATAAAATTAATATTTTATAATCCAGTGGTCTCCGGAATCAGAGAAAGGAAAGATAAAATTAATATTTTTCAATCCAGTGGTCTCCGGAATCAGAGAAAGGAAATATAAGATTAATATTTTATAATCCAGTGGTCTCCGGAATCAGAGAAAGGAAAGATAAAATTAATATTTTTCAATACAATGGTCTCCGGAATCAGAGAAAGGAAAGATAAAATCAATATTTATAATCCAATGGTCTCCGGAATCAGAGAAAGGAAAGATGAAATTAATATCTTATAATCCAGTGGTCTCTGGAATCAGAGAAAGGAAATATAAAATTAATATTTTATAATCCAGTGGTCTCCAGAATCAGAGAAAGGAAAGTTTGTCTCTTTCTCTTACATGGGAGGAACATTTGGAACTGTTGTCACGTATCCCCTCTGCGGGTAAACCTTCTTTTTAGAAATTGAAATTCTCATTCACAATAAAATCACAAATGTTTCAATTAAAATTTTATGATATGATTTATTAAAATTACAGTTTAGAATATTTGTATCCCATGCTGGTTCAAATAATTTTTGATGTTTTTAATTAGTAAGTAAACAATGTGTTTTCATATGATTTACAATATTTATGTTTTAGAAGTATTTTGACAAGTCTGAGCTGGATCTGGGTATTTTACATCACAAGGAATAATATTCAGTTGAGACCCTCTCCACCCCCTCCTCCTCCCCTCCCCCCCACCGAAAAAAATCCTGGATAATCTCCTGGTTGTGGGGGGGGGGGGGCGTTTGGTCAAACTTGTTGAATATACCAGACATTTATGGAGTTTAAAACGGAAAATGTAAGTTCTAATTTACTGTAATAGAAAGGTTTAGTTGGAGTCAAAAAAAAGTTTGATCCATCAGGGTTCTAAACCTTTGTATGACGCAGCGACAATCTACGCTGCCTGAATTTGATACACACAGTGGGATCTGAAGCTTAATTCGTGAAAAACCGTTGAATAAAATTTGAGGGGTTTCTCAATAGGTTTGAGAAGATTTGTATGGCTTCTGATTGATGAACCCTTGAGAGATGTCCAAACAGAATTAACTGAAACTATCTGATTATACACATCACGTGGATAAGTGATTTTAGAATTGATTAAGGATACCGAAGGTCCCCATTCCCGTTCTTAATTCTAAAAAATAATTATTATAATGCTTTTCAAATCCAGATGATTATTAAAATCCAGTATTCTGACAGGAGTTTGGGGAGTTCTTTGGTTCTTCTTCATGTTTGATGACCCACAGGTGTAAATATTGACCTAAAATTATAAATAAAGAATGAGTCAAGAAAATTTGATTAATGTTGCCTCTCAAAATCTAACCCTAAATTTTTCATTAAATTCTGATTCCTGGAACTGGTGAAAACTCAGAAAAATGTTATTGCTTGTAAGTTCGAAAGGTTCTAGTGTAACTGTAACTGTAACAATGCTATTAATCGACTTTGAATCAAATCAATGAAGTTTGGGGTATCATATTTTGAAATATTGCAAAATTGATAAGTTAAATTGGGAAGCTGATATTGAATTAAATTCGATATTGATCGCTTCTAATTTTTCATCTATTTGTTGCGTCTCTAAGGAGAAAATTGTTAGAAAAGTCTTACACCCAAGAGCGTAGCGTCCATAGTTCACAGAGTTGCATTATTATTGCATACCAGCTAAAGGGCCCGTGGAATTTTTTAATTAAAAAAAATATTTTGATAAAAAAAATGTTGAACAATTTTTTTTTGCCTATAACACCCCCCCCCCCGCCACCCCTTTCACCCCATTTCCAGCCGCTCAGCTGTTTGGTCGACTATAGGCATCATATACATGAATGTCTTGTTTTATTATTATTGCATATAGGCTGGAGAGCCCGGCGTTGCCCGTGAAAAAAAAACACATTTTTTTAAATCAAATTTTTAGCCTAAGACACCCTCCGGCTACCCGTAGTGTCCATAAAAAATTCTGCCCAATCGGTCCAGCCGTTTGGCCGGCTATCGGTGACATCTTTACGAATGTCTTGTTTTATTATATAGATTAAAACCTATAGATGTTGAATACAATTCTATGCATTCGTATGTAATTGATATCTTATAATATTCTTTATTTTATATGATCCAAGTGTTACTTTTGTAAATATTCATTTTTTAAATTTCGAGGATTTTTAATGACCAAGACGACATTCTCATATTTTCCAGAAATGGTGGAAAATCTAGCGCCAGTCTTGAAAACAAGTTGTATTTAAAGTAATCATTTTTAATTAAAAATATGATTGAATATCAACTATATATTTATGAAAGCATCGAATTGAATTCGACATTTGTAGGTTGTAATGTCTGAATGTTTAATTTTAAATCTAATTAAATTATTTACAATCTAAGTGGAATAATGCATTTTTGTGAACAGATAAAAGTAAATTTAGTAGCGATCGACAAGAAGAAGGCGTTGCTAATCACACTTTTTGACTCACCCTGTAAATATATTATTGCATCACATTAAAGACCTTTAATTTCAAAGATCTAGATACTTAGAAGATTAGTTGTATCAAATAATCTATAAATTGACATACATTGTCATGCTACGTCCTTCATACCCTTTCCTCCAATGTATAGAACAAGAAGAAAATTATTTTTTATTTATAAATTAAATGTATAGGAAGATCCCTACAGTTCAGATGAAGAAAAAGAATTCATAATCAGGAATTAAATTTATTCTTTTTTCTTCCTTTTAAGTGTGTAATGCAAGTATTGCAACTAAATGTAAAAAAGGTAATTTTCTTGCGTTTAAATGTTTTCCTCTTCATCTATTTTATAAAATTTCGTAAAATTTGTTTTTTATTAATAAATTACAAACTCCGCAAATTTATTATTGGTTATTGGCCTAATACTAAAAAATCCGATTTTTGTCCTTTGAAACAAATGAAAGGAAGTATTATACAGGGTGTCCCAATAAACATGGGAATTCAGTGTTTTCAAGATTTGATATCGTCTTTGTTATAAATTAGTATTGTAATACCTAATTTCAATAGCCATAATATCATTATGTTTTCTATAGTTTATTTTATGAAAAGGGTAAAAGACTGTAAAGATGTGTCTATAATGTCTCCGCAAGATAAATAGTGAAGACGGACAAGTTTACTCTGTTTGTATACTATATGCAGACAAAACATAAACAAACAAATTGTAAACATAGCAGACGAAAATCTTACGGATTACAGCTTTCTCAGGAGGTATCAAAGAATTATTTAAAAAGACGATATCAAGTTCGTCACTAAATTTCCATGTTTATTGGGACACCCTGTAGTTTAACTGGAGTGGAATCACCCGAACTGTTCATGCCGAGCTATACTTTGTAAATTTCTTTACCAAAAATAATAGTAAGAAACATATGAAATGATGCAAAATTAACTTTTATTCCTTATATTTTTACGAAACTCCATGGTTTCTATTTTAAGCTTGAGACATTCTCAATTTGCATAATTACATTATAGATTTCTAAAAATTCCATTCAAAATTTCTTAATGAAAATTTGATTTCCATTAAAATTTAAAAATCCACGATTTTTTTTTAATCTGCGAATTTTTTTATTGTTTTACAATATCACAGAGAAAATGTTCACAAGAGAAATAAAATATGGACGCCTTGTTAGGTTATACAAAATCCATTTCCCACTTTACTGGAGTCTTCTCTAATAAATAAAAGAATTATAATATATTAGCACGCGATCCTTCAATGAAGATCAAAGAGCAGTCGATCTTTCAACGCCTATTCTACCTCTTCTCTTTGATATGCTAAAGGAAACTGATCATGATAAAGTTAAGATTATTTTGAGTATAGAGGGAAAAGCGGTTTTCACTTTTTCATTATCTAACTTGATGGCTTCGTTCAGGATAAAAAACCCTAAAATGTAAAGTTAGTTTTTACAATGATGGTTTAATAAAACAAAAAAAGTAACGACCAGGAATTACTGTCCAACGATGAGCGATCATAGATAACGACGGACCATTGTTATAATCGATGGACCATCGTTGTCAATCTCCATGTTTATTAACAAAATCGCCGTTAAAAACTATACCCATCTCTAATTGTTTCATAAAGAAAATTATTTAACATTAATGTTATTGTAATTGTACAATCTTCATGGTTACCCACAAAGGATGTGACTTCAGTCTTCACTGACGACCTTAAACTCTTTTAGAATAAGTATTTAAAGGTTTATCGTCTGAAATATAAAGTACTAGGCTTTTAGGGCGCTTCGCGCCCATCTTCTTTTTTAATTGTGAACATGTTCTTTTTGTTTACATTTTAAAACAAAGAAGAAAATTTTTTGCGGATTTTTAAAAAAAACACTTCGCGGATTTTCAAGAATTTAATTTTTTACAAAATTAAAAACCTTTAAAACACATTTATTTAAAACTTTTATCATTCATAAACCTTCCCTGTGGTCACGTGATGTCCCACAAAAAATTTGGGCCCGATCGGTTCAGCCGTTTTGACGTTTATTGGATACAAACAAACATTAAATACAAATTATTGAACATATCTGTTTATGTAATTGTAAATACAAATTATTGAACATATCTGTTTATGTAATTGTAAATACAAATTATTAAACATATCTGTTGATGTAATTGTAAATACAAATTATTAAACATATCTGTTGATGTAATTGTAAATACAAATTATTAATTATGTAATTGTAAATACAAACTAAATTTACATGTTAAGTCAGCATAGAATCCGGCTGTACGGGTTTGTATGATCATATCTAATGTGTTTGCCTCAGTTTGGTTCTTTATTTTGATATAGATGACTAGATATTCTTCGGAAAATGTAATGTTTTCAAATATGGTTTCTTTCATAGAGTAATAAAACGAAGAGGTGAAGCTTAGCTCAGATGTACACAACCGACCTGTCTATTAATTAATTAATAAACAGGTCGGTTGTGTACATCACGATATGTTTACGTATCTAACACTGTACACTTGTATATTGAGCGATCGTAGTTATAAAGGGGGATTTTATGGAATTGACCAAATTTTAGATTTTCTTTCTTTATTTAAAGAGAATTCGAGGATGTTGACTGCAAACATTTGACAATTTTCAAATTTGTAGGTTTTCAATTTATTAGCTAAAAGTTTTATTGTTTCTTCTCTTCAACTCATTATCATAAACATGATAGTGTATGCAGGGTTACCCACAAAGATGAAACAACGATTACGACCTGGAGCTCCTAACCCTAAACAGGCGGGGGGGGTATGACTAAAGCTACAGATCTGAAAACTATAGTTTTGAAAAGCCCTTGAAAAATGGGTGTAGAAACGTGTGTCACACTTTGATATTTGTTTTAAACAAAAAAAATTTAAAAAATTATTTTTTACATTTTTTCGACCTAATCTATCTAATTATCAATGCTAATATTCAAATATCTACATTAAACCAGCTCCTTAGAAATACGATCGCTCTATACAGCGTTAGATACGTAAACATATCGTGATGTACACAACCGACCTGTCTATTAATTAATTAATAGACAGGTCGGTTGTGTACATCTGAGCTAAGCTTCACCTCTTCGTTTTATTACTCTATGGTTTCTTTAAAATGTGCCTTGGGGAAACAGAATGATAAATTCAACGCTTAAGAAAACGACGATTTCTTCTTTATTATTATTTAAAGAGCAAATAAGCGAATCTACTATAAAACTACTATACAAGAGAATTCAGAAGTACGTCTAACACGCACCTCTGCCCCTTTAGTTAAAGTAAATTCAACCTAGATGAAGCATAACGTCGGACCGCGTCAACCTTGTTCCACCATCTAGTCCTGTCCATAGAGCTAGGTACAGTACAAACAAGGTCCGGAAAGGTTGACCCGGCTCGGTAATTCAAATGTACTACGGCTGCCCGTGCTAAAGTCCCTTTAAAGGGACTGTAATCATAATTTCAAGTGACCCTCTATTCAAAAGATGGCAATACCCAACTTACAACGGTACGCTTTAAAGCTTTTTCTGATCAACTATGTATTATCATATCAATGTTTTTCTTTCTTTATCTATTTATTTTCATCTGCGGTTTCTCTGTGAGAGTGACAATTGGGCATTCCATAAGAAGCAACGGAGAAAATCTCAACATGGGTATCTTTCACATTTTGAAACAGATTAAGGTTTTAAGGGTATTGTTTTCAATCGGGCATTGTCAGCTTTGCAGGCAGGAGGGTCGCTAGAAATTACGCTTACAGTCCCGGTACTGTCTGATCTATTGACTGTTCAGGATCCAATATATTTTCTGATGGTTGGGTGTCCGCAGCTCCACATTTATGCAGGTTACATAGAATCAAGTACAGTAGATGGCAACGCAGAATGCGGACACACTTATAACAGCTGTATCTACGTCACAAATGTCAACTCAATTACTCAACTAGTTGAACTAAATGTCGTCTTTTGTTTTACATTTGACATTTGACGTCGTGCCTAATTGGTCGATTTTTCTGCTGCCATCTCTTGTCCTTGACAATCTATTTGGGTTACAGTGAATTTTTTCTTTCAGATTATTAGAATATCAATTACAATTTGGAATTCAACAATAAAGTATTTTTATACATATTATTTTTGTATTATGTATTACCCATATATATTAAGCTAGACGTGGGCAATAGTTATTCGGGTTCGTTTTTAAACATTTAATAGGTTTTTATCATAGGCTTCATAAAAATCTAATATATATATATACATTTATATTTCAAAATTGTAATGCTTTGATTAGTCACGACATTTTAAAATTAAAATTAAAATTTATCTCGTGATATTTTGCTTCTTGACGTCACTTGAATAAGTGAAAAAAAACGCTCTAATAACTAAATGTCCCTGCCGCGCCGTTACGATAAGTTAATAGTTTAGAAATGTATATATGTTATAAGTTAAGAACATTCCTGTAGTTCTCCCGAGTTACCCAATCAAAATTTGAGGCAAATCGGTTCAGGAGTTCCTGAGTTATGATCTGTTATAGACAGAAATAAAACTTTATGTATAGATATAATATGGATATATATATAATATATAAATAAATACAGGGTGTCCCAAAAACATGGGAATTCAGTGACGAATTCGATATCGTCTTTTTAAATAATTCTTTGATTTAGTATAGTGATACCTAATGAGAAAGCTGTAATCTGTAAGAGT